ATTAATCATGGTGAAACAAATTCACAAATAAATAGCATAGCAGAACTGACTGTATCGTGTATCTCTCTTGATAAGTCATGGCCTGTACTAGGTGTTACGGGGGACACAAGATAGTCACCATTCTTAGAAAATAAGGCATATAAAGAAATAATATATATGCACTAAAATACAGTGAATTTTGAAATTTTAAAAATTTGTATCCTGCCTGAAACTAGGGCAGACCAGGTTGGAGTGGGGGTGGAGATTGCCGGTTGAGGGAGGTGTTGAAAGGAGTGACACGGGGCTGGCTCACACTGGGAGTGACCCATAGGAGTGGCCTAAGAATTTACTCGGCCTATCTTTCTCCAATTTAATATTACAGTCATCCATTAAACCCCGATTTGTCCCTATTTCCTTGGGTCACAGAACCAAATACATATTTTTTCAGCAGATGTTTTATTCTGTTTGAGATGACATGTGTCACTACTCCATTAACTCCTGTTTCCACTATTCAAATTTATTTTTATAACGTTTTTGAGATTATCTTTGTATTCTCTGTGTAAAGAGATTCTCGTAGTAGTTTTCTACTGCTGCTTTAACTAATTAGTCTAACCTGGGCAGCTTAAAACAACATAGATTTATTATCTTATAGTTCTGTAGTTCAGAAGCCTCCTTCAGGTCTCCAAGTATCAGCAGGCTGTGTTCCTTTTTAGGAGCTCTAGGGGAGGATCTGTTTTCTTGCCTTTTCTAGCTTCTACAGACCACTCACATTTCTTGGCTCGTTGCCCCCTTCCATCTTCAAAGCCAGCAATGGCTGGTGGAGTCTCTCTCACATCCCATCACTCTGACTTTCTTCTGTCTCCCTCGTCCACATGAAACAGTCCCTGTGATTACATGGAGCCTACTGGGTAACCCAGGATACTCTGACTATTTTAAGATCTGCTGATTAGCAAGCTTAATTCTACTTGCAACCTTAATTCCCCTCTTTGGGGATTAAGATATGGACCTCTTTGGGAGGCTAATATTCTGCCAATCACCGTTCTCTGTAATTTAAATTGCAGACCTCTATGCGAACTCCAGTACATCCGCTCATGTATGTCTTACACCAAATACTCTGCTATATCCTATTTTAAACGTTTCCTGCTATCATTTGCCAACTCTTAAAAAGAACATTTTTTGCCTGTATTCAGGACCTTACATCCTGTCTTTCCTCTTAGAAACTGCTGCTTGTCATTGGTCATTGTTTCTTTCTCCTGAGTCTCCAACTTCTTTCTTTACTAACTCTTTCCCGTTAGTATTTAAACATGCTCAAGTCCCTCTCATGTTACCTGGTTTTCAAAAGGCCCTCCTACAGCATTTGTCTCCATTATAGCCAGACATCTTGAAAGAACGTCCACTTAGCTCCGGTCACTGCTTAACCTCCTGCCATCTGTTTTACTGCTACATCCTCATAACCAGTGCAAGGCTCAGCCTAGGACATGTGCCTACTAAATATTTGTTAAATTAATAATAGAACTTCTGCCTAAGCACCCAAGTCTATTATCAGGTCTCTGATAATATTCTCAGTATAAGGACTGCTCTTTGGGATTGTGTGTGTGTGTGTGGTGTGTGTCTTAATTAATTTACATTTGTAGTTGAGATTACCCATCATGGATCATGAATATATACATACTTCTTCTTTTTGTGACGGAGTTTTGCTCTGTTACCCAGGCTGGAGTGCAGTGGCCTGATCTGCAACCTCCACCTCCTAGTTTAAGTGATTCTCCTGCCTCAGCCTCCTGAGTAGCTGGGATTACAGGTATGCAGCGCTATGCTCAGCTAATTTATATATTTTTTTAGTAGAGACAGGGTTTCACCATGTTGGCCAGGCTGATCTCGAACTCCTCACCTCAAGTGATCCACCCACCTCGCCTTCCCAAAGTGCCAAAGTACTGGGATTACAAGCATGAGCTAGAGTGCCTGGTCTATAGATATATATTTTTCAGCAAATTTTTTATTCTGTTTGGGATGACTTGTGTCACCATCCCATTAACTCGTGTGTGTGTGTGTGTGTGTGTGTGTGTGTTGGAGATGGAGTTTCGCTCTTGTTGCCCAGGCTGGACTGCAGTGGTGCAATCTTGGCTCACTGCAACCTCTGCCTCCTGAGTTCAAGCGATTCTCGTATCTCAGCCTCCTGAGTAGCTGGGATTATAGGCATGTGCCACAACACCAGCTAATTTTTTGTATTTTTAGTATAAATGGGGTTTCTCCATGTTGATCAGGCTGGTCTTGAACTCCCGACCTCAGGTGATCCACCTGCCCCAGCCTCCCAGAGTGCTGGGATTATGGGTGTGAGCCACTGCACTTGGCTAACCCCTGTTTTATATGTGTTTAGCATTTCATACTTTTTATGATGCTTCTGCATATAACATATTATGTAGTTTTTGTCAACACCTTTGTGAAATAGGCAGGCATTGAGGTGTTTTTGTTTTAAAGGTTAAGTTATTGAGGCCCAGAGCAACTAAGGTATTTCCCCAAAACATATTCAGAGTTAATGATACAACTAGGACTAGCTCTCAGGTTTCTTAACTGCTTTCTTTGAATTCTTTTGCTGTCACATGCCATTATAGTGACATATTCAAGAACAAAGCAAAGTACAGAAGATCATAAAGGGGAATAGGAGTCTGCATATGAACCTGTGCTTGGCTTGTTTTACAACGTCTTTAAGTGTTCTCTGTGGCTGGGGGCATCTTTGGACACAATCCCACCTGCATTTTGTTGACATGATTAGGTGGTAGTAGTGAAGAATGAATAATGTGCTGGGTGAACTGAGGAAAGGAGATAGTAAAGGGCTGATGTTATTGGTATTAAGCCAAAGGTCTTAGCTGAACAGCTTTAATTTTGTGGTTTGACTTAGAAATGAAGTAGTATTTCTCTTTCCAAACTCAGTACACCTCTGTGTTCCAGTACTGTTATGAGTGACATTTTTTTTTTTTTTTTTTTAGATGGAGTTTCGCTCTTGTTACCCAGGCTGGAGTGCAATGGCGCGATCTCGGCTCACTGCAACCTCCGCCTCCTGGGTTCAGGCAATTCTCCTACCTCAGCCTCCTGGGTAGCTGAGATTACAGGCATGCGCCACCGTGTCCAGCTAATTTTTGCATTTTTAGTAGAGAAGGGTTTTCACCATGTTGACCAGGATGGTCTCAATCTCTTGACCTCGTGATCCACCTGCCTCAGCCTCCCAAAGTGCTGGGATTACAGGCATGAGCCACCACGCCGCCCATGAGTGACATTTTAAGGGATCCCTGCAGGAAGCATACGTAATGAAAACTCGTGAAAGATTTCTTGCTGTTAAGTGTTCTTGACTGTCTCTTAAAAGGAGAGTGGGTGGGCGAGGGATTAAGAGTTGGAGTGTAGGCAAGTGATTTAAATTATTGAGTGTTTCTTACCGCTATTAAAATAATGTTATTTTGAATTCAGCAAGGTGAAATGGAGTTCAACTGAAGTTATCGAACTTCTGCATTCTGAATGCTTGCTTAGTTAGAGAATTAGCCTAAATTTGATTTGATGTGGGGGACAATTTGACTTGAAACCCAGGTGAAGTCAGGTTTCTCTGCTACTTCATCTCGACATCCTATTCTAGTTGCTGTGTTGTGCTTTCATGCCTTTGCCTCGCTGTGATCCTTATATCTGGTTGCTCTCCATAGGTCTCCAACTCTGACCAGGTTCCCCTTCCTCTTTCTGGGACTTTACACACTGACTTTTAGATCATTTAGTTTTTATAGGCCAGTATCATGAAGGTCAAGCGAAACGCTTCTAAAAAGTAGGGATGGTGGGGCGCGGTGGCTCACCCCTGTAATCCCAGCACTTTGGGAGGCTAAGGCGGGTGGATCACGAGGTCAGGACTTCGAGACCATCCTGGCTAACATGGTGAAACCCGTCTCCACTAAAAATATAAAAAATTAGCCAGGTGTGGTGGCATGTGCCTGTGGTTCCAGCTACTTGGGAGGCTGAGGCTGGAAAATCTCTTGAACCCGAGAAGCAGAGGTTGCAATGAGCTGAGATCGTGCCACTGCACTCCAGCCTGGACAACAGCAAGACTACACCTCAAAAAAAAGAGTAGGGATCACATAAGGACCTCAAGTCACCAGTGACTTGAGGTGAGTAAGTGAGGTTTCTGGCATCCAGTGGGCCTATTTTCCATTGCAGCTCCTCCATTGGCTTAGCTGTGTGACCCTAAGCAAATTCTTAACCTCTTATAACATCAGTTTCCCCATCAGTCTAAATGGGATCATAGGATCTCCCCCTTAAGGTGGTGGCCAGAATTAAGTTACTTAACGTAAATGAAGCGCTTAGCAGTGTATGACACAAGATGAGGGACAGTAAATTTAGTTGTAATTATTCTTGCTGTTGTTATTGAAAGAGAATGTTTTTGTGAGCCTGGGAAACTTGCTTTACCCATTTGGACCTGATTTCTTTCATCTATGAAATGAAGGTACTGAGGAGTATTGCCATGTGGACAATTGATAGACCCTATTCGGGCCTGATTATGTTAATGTTTCTTCCGAGTGCATCTGAATCGCACCTTTTTCAGCTCCATCTTCTGCCATCCAAGAAGCGTGTTGATGCTTCCTCCTTACTCATGCTGTCCTCTGCTGTCCAGATGTCATATTCCTTTAGGTTCTTCTAGATGAAAGCTCACTTAGTGAGCACATTTATGCAAATGTGCTCTAAATAAACAGTACTGATGAGTTTTGTATCATAGTTCAGTATCTTACTCTTTTTAGATAGAATTTTTAAAATCAGAAGGACCTTTATGGGGAGTTTCTTTTTTAACTTATGTTTCTCAAATTTTCTACCAAAGCCTGGGCATTTAGAGGACATGCCCCTAGCTGACCTTCCCATACCAGCTCCAATCATAGAATGTCTTTGAATTATGATATTTTATTTTCATATTCATTTAAACTTTATATTCTATTCCATAATGTAGCCATGTTTGTTATACTTAAAATATTTTAAATCATACCTCACTTCTTACTTACCTCACCTCCTTAAGCTTCTAGTAAAACTGATACCTCAAAATGTGTGCCATGTTTATCTCGAGGCTTTGAGTGCCTCAATAATCTAACTTAGAGCACCAGGGTGATCTAAAGGAGTGGGTTCTGAAGATGCGACTTCATCACAGACCTGGGTACATCACAGACCTGGGTACATCACAGACCTGGGCACATCACAGACCTGGGTACATCACAGATCTGGGCACATCACAGACCTGGGTACCTCACAGACCTGGGCACATCACAGACCTGGGTACATCACAGACCTGGGCACATCTATGAGGGAAACATTTCTGATTGTTGATCAAATCGCTTTAGGAAGCTGACTTGGTAGCATTGAAGAGAGTTTTTATTTATTTATTTACTTATTTGTTTATTTAGAGACAGAATCTTCCTCTGACACCTAGGCTGGAGTGCAATAGCACAATTTTGGCTCACTGCAACGTCTGCCTCCCAGGTTCAGGGTGATTCTTATACCTCAGCCTCCTGAATAGCTGGGATTACAGTCGTGTGCCAACATACCTGGCTAATTTTTATATTTTTAGTAGAGATGTGGTTTGGACATGTTGGCCAGGCTGGTCTTGAACTGCTGGCCTCAAGTGATTTGCCCGCCTGGGCCTCCCAAAGTGCTGGGATTATAGGCATGAGCCATCACGCCCAACCTGAAGAGAGTTTTTAATTGCTGAGTTGAAGACAGACAATCACCACTGATCCAATACCTTTAGAAAAGGTTAATGGAATAGCCCTTTCCCTTCTTTTATGAGACAGAGTCTCACTCCATTGCCAGGTGCCAGGCTGGAGGACAGTGGCCTGATCTCAGCTCACTGCAACCTCTGCCTCCCGGGTTCAAGCAATTCTCCTGCCTCAGCCTACCGAGTAGCTGGGACTACAGGTGCGTGCCACCACGCCCAGCTAATTTTTGTAATTTTAGTAGAGACGGGGTTTCATCATGTTGACCAAGATGGTCTCGATCTTTGACCTCGTGATCCGCCGGCCTTGGCCTCCCAAAGTGCTGGGTTTTTACCGCGCCTGGCCCCCTTTTCCTTTTAAGACATGTGTGTAAACTTGAAAATTCTAAAAACTTTTATCCCTCTGGGATATGTGAAAAGATGGATTCGTGGAAATCTACTTTCTTTCCTTTATGAGGTGGGGCTTTCTTAGATTATCTTCTGATCTCTTTGCTTGCAGTTGCAGAGTGGCATGGTAAAAGGACAGCCAGGAGGCAATGTGGTTTCTACGGCAAATAATTTCTCCAAGCTCGCCTTTCTTTATATAAATAGGTTTTATGATTTCAGTGATCTCTCAAATGAGATAGGTGTGTGGTTCTGTGTTCCTTCTAGCAGCCATTACCTGTCTATACTGCTTGTTTCATCTGTAATCATTGATTCGGTGTGTATAATTTCTATAAGACTGGAACCTTCATATACCATGGGTGTTTTGCTCACATTTATATGCTAAGTACCTCTTACATTGCCTGGCACACAGTATTCATTTATTTCCCGAAATATATTTTTAGTGCCTGCTAAATGGCAGGTACTGTCTTAGGCACTGGAAAACACAGCAGGAACATGTTAGTCAGGGTCTCCAATCTCATGGGGTTTTGATTCTTAATGCAGTCCTCTTCAATAGAACATCCATAGTGATGGAAATGTTCTTTCCTGTCTTGTCCAGTATGATGGCCATTAACCACATGCAACCGTCAAGCACTTGAAATATGGCTGGTATAAATACGGAACTGAGTTTTTAGCTTGGTTTAAATTTAATGAATTTAAATTGCTACATATATCCAGTGGCTACCATTTTGGGCAATATTGTGCTAGAGGACTAAGGGTTTTGAGATGGAGATAAATAAAAATTTCACATAGTGATACGAACTGAGAAGAAAGAAAATGGGGTGTTGAAAAAGTAGGGAAGAATTTTAGATAGGGTGATTCTAGTTGAGTAGCCATCAATACATGTAAAATAAATGAATTGATGAAGTTTGAATTTTAAAATCTTTGCTTCTTGGTACTTTTGCTTGGGAGTCCTTAATTGGTGATGCAGTGTTTTTCTTTTTTGAAAACAACCTCCAAATCCCAAAATAAACCCTCATGTGTCTATCATTTTATTAACTGAAGACTTTTTTCTAGCCCTGAACTGTCTTCTGCAGTTCCTGTTGGTGATACTTCAACACTGGGAGGTATGCTTTTGTGTCTTTATTCACTTTTATTTTTATATTATTTGTGGCTTAAGACAGTCTCACAAACATGTAAATATTTTGCAGCTCACTCTTTAAAAATACCAGATCTCTCTCTTTTTATATGCTGTTCAAGAGTCTCAAGAAAAAATAAATTTTTAAAACTTATTTTATAGCTTTATGTTGTGGGTACTTAAAAATCCTGAATTGTTAAGTATATAATACAAGTCAGAACACCACTTAAACATATGAGCTAATGAATTATTTTAAGGCAAACACTCCGTAGCCACCATTAATGGCAAAATATAGAACCATTCTAATTCTACTATCTGTCATTTGTCCTGTGAGAGTTTCCTGGAGTGAGGATTTTCTTATTGCATTCTGGGGTATAGTTTAACATGTTCCTTTGACCAATATATTTCTTTTAAGTTGGTAATTCATTTCTTTATTTGAAATTAAAAAACTCACAAACTTCTCTGTGTTAGAAGTTTTAGACATCTACAGAAATAGAATAACATGGTAAGGTCCGGTTTTAACACTGGTCAATTCACAACCAATCTCCAAGTTTTGCCCACTTCCCCTCTCTATTAGAGGAGTTTTTTTACTATGTGTCCCCTTTACTAGATAGCTCCTTAAGTATAGGAATGTTGTTTTTGTGTCCCTACTGTCTTGTGCAGATTCTGGCATATAGTAGGTGCTCAATATATGCTTGTTGAATGCACTGCAATTATTTCTTGTTCTGAAAAGACTCCATACAAATGTGTCTTGAGGTTAGAAAGCACCGCATTTTCAGGACAATAAAGCAAACTATTTATAGGAATGGTTTTGAAGTCAGTTCCTTATTTCCTAATAGGAATTCTGACTTAATCAGGGACTGAATTCATGCATATGTTTTTGCTTTTCTTCTTAGACGCTGCTCTCAGTGTTCCACATCCAGGGGTGGACTCCTATGAAGGTGCCTCAGAGAGCAGCTTGGAAAGGCCAGAGGAGAGTGTGAGTGATGCTGTTTTGTTACTTAGTTTCTAGCATGGAGCACAGAGATTAAGAGAGTTTATCTTCCATTGCTGGATCACACAGGTCTTTATGCCGTGCCCTGTTAGAAAAATGACATGGATTCTAAAATCAGTAGATTAAAAACAATCTGAGATTCCTTGGAGAGCTGAGTAAATCTGCTCTTATTGGTGAGGTTTTGGTGAGAGAGGGCTTCAAATTATAAATGAAATGGACTGTCATTGAGGTAAGCCCACTGAAGCAGTCTCTGTGATGTGATTTACTGTGGTGGTTTTGCCTATGTTCTTCTAACCTTTAATCGACCAGGTCTTAGCCTTCTTCAGAGGGAAATAATATACATTTTATGTACTTTAAAGGTCAGAAAATACCATGCACTGTGAATGTGCCATTATTAATAGAAACCTTTCCGCCAAGCAACACTAAATCCTGTAGCCGAGTCTCTAACACAAAAAATACACAAATTAACAAAAAAAATTACACACTGCCCAGGAATATAGAAGCATTTTGTTAGATATTTAAATACTGCCTTAAAAAAATTGAGGGTTCATAAATTCTGTTTCTTTTTAATGTAGAGCAAACTCTGACAAAATATATTCACTGAGAAGATGCAATTTAATTACTTTGCACCTTCGCTTCCCAGCGTGGACATTTAACTTACATGAAATCAGATTGTCACTCCACTCAGTCAGCCTTATCGCAAGGCAGGTGGTAATCCCTAGTGTGGATACCTGAATCGAGACCTAAGTAAAACCGTGTTCGAAGCAGTTGGTGCTAGCGGATATTGACATTTGATCAACATTTGTGAATGAATGAATAAAAGTGATGCTGTAGCTGTGGACCTGAGGAGGAATAGCTATGATTTAGGGCTGGAAACATTTATAGAATAAGATAGAATTCACTTTAATAGAAATTAAGGAACTGTATGTAATCAATTGGAACACTAATATCCAAAACAGGGGACTTAAGCCAATTTATAGAACCAGTAAGGAAACGAAACAATATAGAGATGCCTAACAAAAATTAGATTGCCTGTAGCTCTGGTTCAAAATGAAGCCCAAGGTACAGTTTTATTGTGCAGCTATTTTCCGAGCGCATTTTCCCATCTACTCTTCTAGAAATTAGGTACCGTATTTCGCTTCTGTTGGGAGTTACCCTATGTATTATAATGTATATTTAACGTGACAAATTTTAAGTTTTTCAGCATCTTTATTCTTATCCTGAGTAACGTAGGAACATTAGAACGTCATAATTCAAATGATTGTTTTGCTGACCTATATGCTACTTACCAGTATTTTTGTTCTTTTCCTTTCTTTTATTCTACTAATCAGACTGTATTATATTCTATTTATACAGATAAAATTTGTTTAACATTTACCCAGATGTTTACTATTTTATCTGTTTGTTTATTTACTTGAAATGGAGTCTTGCTGTGTCACCAAGGCTGGAGAGCAGTGGTGCTATCTTGGCTCCCGAAAACCTCTACCTCCCAGGTTCAAGTGATTTTCCTGCCTCAGCCTCCTGAGTAGCTGGGATTACAGGTGCATACTACCATGCCCAGCTAATTTTGTGTTTTTAGTAGAGATGGGGTTTCAGTTGGCCAGGCTGGTCCTGAACTCCTGACCTCAAGTGATCTGACCACCTCAGCCTCCCAAACTGTTGGGTTTATAGGTATGAGCCACCACACCTGGCCCTACTATTTTATTTTCTAATTAAAAATAACATACATTTTAGATATCTCTTCTGGGTAATTTTCCTTCTGAAATATATAGTTCTGATATTCGATAAAAATCTCTCACTGTTTTAATTTCAGTTTTTGATCATCTGAAAATTTCTTTTTTATATTCTAATTCTGGAAAGATATTTGAATCTATATGCAATTCTGGATTGAAGGTTTTTTTTTGGTCAACCTTTTATTTTACAGTCTTCTGCTTCTGTTATTGCTACTGAGAAGTGAACTGTCAGTTCATTTGGCACTCTCGTTGTAATCCGGTCATTTCCTTTGGCTGTTTATGGCGGTTTTTAAGATACATGTGGATATATACGCACATACATCCACATATGTGTATATGAATTACAAATTCATATACTACATGTGGATATATACGCACATACATATGTGTACATACAAATATGTACATACAAATATGTACATACAAATATGTACATATTTGTATGTACACATATGTATGTGCGTATATATCCACATGTAGTATATGAATTTGTAATTGAGATTCTGCAGTTTCACAAAAATGGATATAGATGCGTATTTATGATTATTTATTTCGGTTTAGATTTGTTGTATTTCCTTAATGTGAAGCTTTATGTCTAACGTAAATTTGGAGAAATTCTCAGCTGTTATCTTTCGTGATTAGATATGTCTGACCTCCTAATTTTCTCTCTGATGTCTCTTAACTACTTTAATAACTTTCATTTCTGTGTGTCTCTGTGTTGCTTTCAGTTGTCTTCCAGTTCACTTTTTTTTTTCAGTTTAATCTGCTGTTGTTCAAACTGTCCATTGAGTTTTTAGAACCCTTGCTTTATGTGGGAGTCTTTGATCTGATTTGTCAACATGTATAGGCCTTCTTTGTATCCTATCCTTTTGTGGTATTTACCATTGAAACCTATGTTACGAAGGATCAGTAGATGCTCCATGGAAGCTGCCACCTTCAACACTGACTCAACTCTCTGGATTCCTGTAATGTTTTATGACACCTTGGTTTTGTTTTGTTTTTACTTTCTTGCAAACTAGCTATGCATTAAAACCATTAAAAATATTTACTCAGCATTTTCAGTGTTCCGTAGCAGCAATACTACTCAAGATATTTCTTTTACAGTAAATGAGAAACGAGTCTCTTTGAAAACTTAGTGAGATGAGGCTTAATACAGCAAAATGCAAAGTCTTGTGCAAAATTTCATAAGACTAAGAGTTTTTTTTGCTATTAGTCTTACTATGAATCAGTAGTATGATGCAGTTACTGAAAAAAACCAAAGCTAATGTAATTTTAGCTTGTTTTAATGGAAATACAGTTTACTATAAGAGAGATGTGTGGCTAGATTTTTTCATGTATTTCAGCTAAAACTGTATATTGCATATTTTCATTGATTAGATTTCACTTGTGAGTGTCATTCTCTAAGAAAGATATTAAGAGACTGAGAAGTGTATGCAGGAGAGGAACTAGTGAAAAGTCAGGGAAGACACGATAGCTGCCTGGACATATTTGACAGACTTTGTGCAACTAAGTTGTAAATATGCCCCAGGTTACAGAATTTGGATCCTCAATGGTAGAATTTACAGGGAGGTAAATTTGGGTTTAATATTAAGGACTTTCCAACCATGAGAGCTTTTTTGAAGTGTAATAGTCTGCGTCTGAAAGGCCTGTTTCTTTCTCATCAAAGCCATTCAAGCTGATGATAAGCAGTCATTTGTCAAGGATATTTTGAAGAAAATTCAAGCATCAGAAGGGATGGGGGAATCTTGGATGTTCTTTCCCATTCTGAAGTTTTAAAGGTCTCTGACTGTATGATTTATCAGGGATGAAAAATGATAAAATGAGGAAAAGCCCTTATATTCTCTCCCTGACTCTGCCATTGACATGCTGTAATTCCTTATGTTAGTCATTCATCCTATTCAATCTCTGGTTTTCTTACATATCAAAATGAAGAAAGTTGGATTCAATGCACTTTAGTGTATTTTGTATGTGATAAGCATTACGGTAGTGTTCTAGTATGATTTTCCACTTCCCTCATTTTATCTACCTTTATTAATTGAAATTATTCTGTAAGAAACTGTTGTCACTTCCCTTTCATTTATTTATTTCATCATTTATTTATTATTTATATCAGTATGGACTCATGGATATTTAATTTATTCTTTGGGTTATAATCCATTATTTATTTTGTTGCTTAAATTATTTCAGTTTTGGCTAGTGGAAGCCTGGATTTGAATGTTACAAAGTACAAAAAGTTTGTTGAATATGTGTTCAGGTTCCACATAGCAACTAACCTTTAAGAAATTACTGCTTGTTGAGTTTGGCGTAATATCAAAAAAGAATATCCACAGTTTTCTGAAAATTCTAAATACATTCATCCCTTCTCTAATAGATATCTGTGTGACCAGATTTTTTTCATGTATTTCAACTAAAACAACATATTGTAACTAATTGAATACAAAAGCAGATAGAAGAATCCAGCTGTCTTCTATTAAGCTAGGCATTAAAGAATTTGCAAAAATATAAACAATATCACTCTTCCCACTAATTTTTGTATTTTGCGGAATATTTTACTCATTTTTATATGAATTGAGATGATTATATTACATTTAAATGAATTAAAGATTTTGAAAAATTCTCTTTTAATCTTTTGTTTTGAAAATAGCTGTAGGTATAACCCACATAAACCAAACTTCTTTGGATTCCTCAATGATTATTAAGAGCTCAAAGGGCTCTAAGACAAAAACATTTGGAAACAACCCTTCAAGTTTATTTTTGGACGATAATTATAGCAGTCAACTCTTTTTACACTCACTTTGATGATTTCCTGTGGAAAAATTTCTACCTTCCCTTGAACTGTACAGTGTGTGTTCAAAGGAATGAACAAATGCTTAGTAATTGTAGTATTAACCTATGTCTTAAAGTCTACACAATGTGTTTCAAAGTCAAGTATGATATCATAAGGTTATCTTCAGAAGCTGCCTTTAGCACCGTTCTGATACACTGGAACAATCAATAAATATTTGTTGATTGAATGAATACACCTTGACATTTATTGTTCTTTCTCTAAAAATTCAGATTAGCAATGAAATTGAGAATGTGATAGAAGAAGCCACGAAACCAGCAGCTGAACAGGTTGCAGAATTCAGTATCCACCTTTTAGGGAAGCAATACAGGGAAGAACTACAGGATTCCTCCAGCTTTCACCACCAGCACCTTGAAGAAGAATTTATTTCAGAGGTGGGTGAGTTAAAAAAAATAAACGAGACGGTTTGTCTGCTGTGTTAGTTTTCCATGTTCACAACACTGTTTAAAGGTAGCTTAGGTTTCAAGTTGTTTGTCTACTTGGTTCCTAGAGTGGTTACTTAGCCATTTCTTCAGAAAACTCTGAAAAGTCACAGGACAGATGAATTCTTTCACAGAAAGAAAAATCTTGCCATCTGCTAAAAAATTAATGCAATTTCCAACTTTTGCTGCACAGCCAAGGAAGACTGTTCTGTGGCATGGTTTTGACTTGAAAATATTTAGAGAAATAAGCTTCTTTAAGAAACTACCCACACTGTATTGTTTTTCTTAAGGGAACATTAAATTTAATTTCTTTTAATTTCATCTTTGGTATTTTTTATTTGAAAAAATTTTAATAGTTACCACATAGGCAATACCTGGTACAAAGCTGAGAAGCACAAAAGGGCATCCAGTGAACAATACATTTTTCTCCTATCCTTGGTTGGAGGTATTTTTAGAAAGGGATTTCTTTAAAGAACTGTGGATTAGACCATCCCATAACATCGCTTTCTGGAAAAATTCTATATAGGATTTAAAACCAAGATTTTTTCAGTCAAAAATTACACATTGGTCCCGGCCTTGTTTGCCTTTGCTTTTGTTTAGTAAGGCAATGAATGCTCATTTACCACTGGCTGTCTTAGGAAAGGGCAAATCATGCCTTCCTGTTTATTTTTTCCCATTCCTTCTTGATGGGGTTCTCCTTAGCCAAGTTTGTCAGTTCCATTACCTTAGATTAATTTCCCTCCCCAGATACTATGTCCAGATGGGAAATAAAAATGTGCATCTCAGCCAAAGCATTATTGTAGCCATCAGACGTGGGAAGGGGAGGACAGACGATTGATTTTCCTAACGGTGTGGCCAAGTTGCAAGGCTGTATTGTATGTGGAAGAAATGACAGCCAGGCCAGTGGCCACCTGGCACCAGAGAGTGTCTTGGGTTGGCTGTCTGGTTTTCTCTACCCTTTGATTAAGAAACTTTTAATACGCCTTAGTGTTTGGGTAAACAATTGCATGGAATGACTGCAGATTTAGAAAAGTCCAATAAGCACTCTGAAAAATATCTTCATCAGGGAGGTAGCTATAGAGTCGAGGTCATTAGGCGGTGATGAAAGTTCTGGGCCTGGCCATGAAACACCTCCTTCTCTGGCCTATCTCTATACTCCCTGTTCCCTTACCTGGAAGGAAATGTCTACCAAGAGTTGGTTTGTGTGAAACAGCAGAAGCAGGGGGTCATGTATCAAACTGAAGGGGGTCCTCCAGCTCCCTCCCTTCAGGACACCATCACACGGATTTTTCCCTTAGCTTCTCTGGGTATTATTGGAAGATACACAGGGAGAAAGAAAGCCTGCTTGGAAGGGATGAGGTTTAGGAGTCCTTAGTCTTGTGTGTGTGTGTAAAAGGATAAGAAATGGGGGCATGATAGGCTGGGACAACACAAAGTACAATATCAGAGGGGGAAGGTCACTGTGATGGGCCTGGGCGTGTTGGTGCCTGTCCCAGTGTCGGTGTCAGTGTGATCCTCACATAGTACCTTCTGCTCCACAGGCAAGTTTCTATGTGTTTGCTTACGGCAGCTATGTAGACAAGCATCTCCATGAGGCTCAGGAGGCCAAATAGCATTCATTGTTATTTCAGTCTCTCTAGGAACAGAAATGAAAATCAGGTCTTCTACTGCCTTTCAAAGTGCTGCTTCTTCTACAGAGTCCCCTTCATTTTAATTCAAGGGAGAAGTTATAGTGAACTTAGTTTTCCCAGTCCTGATCCCAATTCTAAAATACATTCATCATGAGGCAGGGAAAAGAGGAAGGGGCAATGCAATTCAACGGGAAGAAGATGGGCTTTGGTGTTAGAGAGATCTGGGATTGAATACATTCTGATTCAGTCATTCACCAAATGTGTGATCCTGGCCACGTTCGTTAATATCTTATAATCTCCATTTTCTCATCCATAAAATCGGAATAATACATTATCTCTGGGGATAATCACAGATTTGAATTAAAGCAAAGCATCAGACACACCACAGTCCTCAATAAATTGTACTGACTATTAATATCGATGTTGAAGTTGAGTGACTCCTTACAACTGGACCCATGTGCAGTAGCTAACTGGTTGTGATGAATTAGAATACCTATCCATGTTTAGACTCCAGAGAAGGCAAAGCCTATGCTAAGATGGGTTCAGTAGTAATGGTAATGTACAGTTGTACAGCATTTTTCAGTTAAGGGAGTGCTTTTAGGTACATTTGTTTTCATCTTAAAATCAGAATGGTAGGTGGGCAGGGAAGTATTAGTTCTGAAAAAAGAAGGCCTGTGCATGGACATCCTGCCAGCACAAGCAGAGCCGAGACTAACTCTCAGGCTTCTGATTTCTAGTCTTGTGGATTCTACCCATCCCCACCACCCTACAAGAATTATAACAGTTTTTTATTTCCTTTCAGAGAGTAAAACAGCACATGACTATAGCCAAAGAGTTTCATGGGTTTGGATTCTATATTCTTAAGGCATAAAGATCTTCAGTGAACTGAGATTTTTTTAAAAATCCCACTCTCCTTATTATATGAGGACTTGGTTAAAAGCAGATGCCCAGAGATGCTGCCAAGGTCCGTTAATTTATTTCCTTTGTTCTGATGTTGGCCCCATAGTGACCCATCTGGTGAGGCTGTCACCTTCTGAAATGTTACAGATTAAATGTTTATTTTTGTTAAAATATGCACTGTGCCTAACCTGATTATTTTTACATCTTTAGTTCAATCTAGCACACTGTTTCCGACCTCCAGTCACTGAGCTCGTTTGGAGTTCCATGGCTAGCTTTGAAAGACTCAGTAATAAAACTGGCTCCTGCAGATGTGATGTTCGTGAATGAGTCTTTTGACCAGCAGCATGACCTGAGCACAAGGCCTGTGGTCTGGGTGTTGAGTATGTTTGTGTTTCTGGTTCTCTTGTGTTGTAGGAGCAGGAAACGGACGCCACCAGCCACTTTCACATTATAGAAAACAAACACGAGACTGTTTGTCAGTGTGTATGCTGTGGCCAGATTTCAAATCCAAAGAGTAACATTTAAAAATGCTATTACAGGCCTGTAATCCTGGCACTTTGGGAGGTCAAAGTGGGTGGATCACCTGAGGTCAGGAGTTCAAGACCAGCCTGGCAAACATGGCGAAACACCGTCTCTAGTAAAAATATAAAAATTAGCTGGGTGTGGTGGCGCACACCTGTATTCCAGCTTCTCGGTAGGCTGAGGCAGGAGAATGGCTTGAAGCCAGGAGGCGGAGGTTGCAGTGAGCTGAGATTGCGCCATTGCACTCCAGCCTGGGTGGCAGAGCGAAACTGCATCTCAAAAAAAAACAAAAAAAAAAAGAAAGAAAATGCTATTACAGCTTATTTTGAAACAATTTTTTTCACATTTCATCACGCAAGGGAAAAATAGTGTTTGCCAACAAAAAAAATTAATATTAAAGCACGTTAAAACCTTAAAAGACAAAATGAAAAAGGAAAATGTGGCAGTGTTTAGGTAAAAACTATTTTCTAACATTTTAACTATTGTAATTTTTTCTTTCACTTTCTGACCTGGGTATGTCTAGGCAAGTGTATGAGCTTCTAATAGTTGTGAACAGTGTACTTTTTATTCGAGTTTTAAAAGCATTATTTTCTATATATTTTTCCATATTTCTACAAGTTATCATTTTTATTTGTATTTTTAACAGGTTGAAAATGCATTTACTGGCTTACCAGGCTACAAGGATATTCGTGTACTTGAATTTAGGTAAATAGACTTACTCTAAATATGCCCGTGTTCATTAGCATTCTTCAATCTGAATGGAATGTCCTTTATATATTATATCTATTCTAACAATACATGATTTGAATGCTGTAACTCAGTGCTATTTCTGGTAAAGTAGTATTCTCAATGTTAGTTTTTCAGGTGAGAAAATTGAATTAGAAAAAGAGCAAATAACTCAAAGAGATCTATAGGTCTACAGTTGGCTAGGTTAAGAACTTAGGAATTCGTGGAGGGAGGAGAGCATCACACACTGGGGTCTGTTGGGGGTAACTAGGGGAGGTTCAGTGGGGGGTGGGGAGTTGGGGAGGGATAACATGGGGAGAAATGTCAGATAGAGGTGATGGGGATGGAGGCAGCAAACCACATTGCCATGTATGTACCTATGCAACAATCCTGCATGTTCTTCACATGTACCCCGAAACCTAAAATGCAATTATATATATATATATATATATTTTTTTTCTTTTTTTAAAAAAAGAACTTAGGAATTCATGTCCCCAGCTTGCTGCTGACAAGTTGCATAGGTCTTATTTGGCACTGAGAGGAGCCAGAAGTCAGACAAGATGTGGCCTCAGTGTTTCCTAAAGCTCGTCAGTGTGGTGATTTTGACATCTTGGTATGAGGCCACTCTGGAAGGGATGCATTAGTCCTTGTTTTAAACATAACAGTTCTGAATAAACCAGACACCTCTTTTAAAGACATTTCTTCCCTGCTTAAGACTCACAGTATAATACTTGTGAACATTTACCGAGTGAATATTTTACTGAGCAAATATTTTGTACTGGGCATGTCAGATTGCTGAGCTCACCTCATCTTCAGCCCTTTTAGGATAGATGTTACTAATACTAATTTTTAAGAGGAGGAAACAGGTTTAAAGGGATGAAATATTAGCCCAGAGTCAGAGTTTGTAAACTAGGGTGGAGGAGGAATTTGGAAACAAAGCAGCTGACTTTCTAGCTTTTGTTGCTCTGAACCTTCCTGCTAGACTCAAGGCCATGATTTGGGTGATGCTCTAGCCCAGGTTTAGATGTTATCCATCTCAGCTTTGGCTCGTTGTTGTCAAAACTTCTGAGTTTACCAGAAATAACAGCAAGCGCTTGTATAGCACTTACTGTGTCCAGGCTTTCTATATATGTATCTTTATACACACACTACTGAATTTCAACATCAATGCTATGAGACAGTTATTATGCTCATATTTTCCAAGAAGTAAACCAGAGCACAAGGAATTTAAATAATTTTCCCTGTGTTTACCTGGTTAGTGGTGCAGGCTTAGTGAAGAGAGGCCAAATATTGTAAGCTGACCTACATATCCAGTTTCATATCATGACCAGTCACCCCGTTCAACTTTAGCAGTTTTCAAAGAGGATGCTGCCTCCAGTGGTAAGCTCAGATGACACCCTGAGATGTGAGGCCTTTGAAGACCTCCCTTATTTGGCAGCACATGAAGGGCAACGCAGTCTTTGGAGCCAATTTGCCTGGCTTCACATCCTGACTTTGCACTTCTGGCTGGATGCTTTTGGGTGTATTTCCAGGATATATCTTCTCATTTGTCTAAAAAAAGACAATTTACCTTAATCCTGCTTTATTAAAAAATGCTTTTGAAATACTGTCAGCAAATTATTTAGCTTCTTTGTTCCTTGGTTTCTATACCAATATTATGGGGGTACTGATGAATCTTAATGAGGATTCAATCAACTAATTTTTGTAAAATGCTTAGCACAGTTCCTCGCACATGGAAAGTTCCATTTAAGCATCTGCTATGTGAAGTAACAAATAGTAAAGGCTGTGCAGTATCCTGTGGATTAGCCAGTCCTGACATTTACCTAAACCCTTCCTACCTTACAATGTACCATCTGATTTTAATACTGTGTAACATGTTGTATCCCAAGAGTTTCCCAACTTTGTTAATGCCACCAACTGGAGTCTTCTGCTGACTTACTGAAAAAAGTTTATTTATGAAGAAATAACTAGATATGGATGGTTGTAAAGTATTTTTAAAATTTAGAAGAAAGTAAAGACCATGGTTTTAAAATTGAACGCTTTTTTCACCTTTGCTCACTTCCTTCAATCTGTAGGAATTTGTCAGTCTCCGATACTATGCAAGCATCTTTATTTAAGGAAGAATTCAAAAGAAATTCAGAGGAAATACATAAAGAACTTGCACTTTGATGAATGATGTGAGAATAATAACTATCTCAAACTCTTTTTAATATTTTCAATTTTTATTTTCAGGTCTCCCAAGGAAAATGACAGGTACTTTTTGGCACTTTCTCTGCTGTCCATTGAATTGGGATACAGCTTAGTAAATATGGCAGGCCGTAGGTCCAGGGGAGCATGCTCAAATCTTATATCACTTCTAATGTCACTGTTCAACGTTTTCAGATCAGGGTTTGGCAAACTTCTGTTAAGAGTCAGATAGAAAATAATTTAAACTTTGCCGGTAATATAGTCTCTGTTGCAACTACTCAATTCTGCCGTTATCAGGCCAAAGTAGACATAGACACTCTATTGCAAACTAGTGAGCTTTGCTGTGTTCTGCTTTATTTATGGACATTGAAATATAATTTTTATATAATTTTCACTTGTCACAAAATGTCTTTCAAAATTTTTTCAACTACTAAAAAATGTAAAATCTATTAACTCATGGGTAGTAGGCTGGATTTAGCTCATAGGCTGTAGTTTTACAGACCCAGACAGCTGACTGGTAAGTACTCTTAAATATTAAGTTACACTTAATTTAAAATAAGAATAACTTGCATTAATATAAATACTTTCAAGTATGCAACATCATTCAGTAATATAATCAAGGGTCGTGTTAAGTGATAAATGAAGAGGAGAAGGCAGATCTTTATAGTCGCTCACTTGCAAAAATAGCTGCTCTCTGGAATTTCTTAGAAGCAGCATGGGATAAAATCATAGTTCCTACCTTTTGCGAAGGTTGCTTGTCATTTTTGCCGTTGGATTCCAAATTAATTTAAAATTCACTTTCACTTGTAGATTTGTATGACCACTAGCACAATAAATGTCCAGAAGTTTCCAGAACTACATGACTCCCTTGTGCCATGCCTTTAAAGCCACACATCCTTCACCCCTAACCCTTGTCAACCACTAATCGGGCCTCCATCTCTATAATTTTGTTATTCCACTAATATAATATGAATGGAATTACATAATATATGACCTTTGAGGACTAACTTTTTGCATTCAGTGTAATTGCCTTGAGAGTCGTCTAAGCTGTTGCGTGTATCAGTAATCCCTTCGTATTGCCGAGTAGTAGTCTGTGAATGTACCAGTTGAGGGACATCTGGGCTGTTTCCAGATTTTGGTTATTATAAAGCTGCTATGAACATTTGTGTAAAGGTTCTTGTGTGGACATAAAATGTCTTTTCTGTGGGAAAAATGACCAAGAATGAAACTGCTGGTTGTATGTCCAGTGCGTGTTTAGTTTTATAAGATACTGCCAAACTCACACCTTGCAGGCGAGAATGTAAAATTGTACAGCCAAACTGTTTTCCAGCGTGGCTGTACAATTTTACATTCTCGCCTGCAAAGTGTGAGTGATCCAGGATCTCCACTTCCTGACTAGAATTCTATGTTGTCACTAGCTTTTATTTTAGCCATTCTGATGTGTGTGTAGAGATGATTTTCCCTATTAATTTTTTATTGACATATAATAATTATACATTTTTATGGGTATACAGTGATGTTTCAATACATATAATGTACAGTGATCTGATCAGTTTAATTAGCACATCCATCATCTTGAATATCATTTCTTCGTGTTGAGAACATTCGATATCCTCCTACCTATTTGAAACTACATAATATTCTCTTGTTAACTGTAGTTATCCTACAGTGGTATAGAACACTGAAACTTATTCCCCCAACTACAGTTTAATTTAACTATATTTATCCTACAGTTAAATACAGTTAGATTTTTAACTGTAAAATCTAAAAATTACAGTTAGATTTATTAAAGGATACAAAATCTAACTGCAATTTTGTATCCTTTAATAAATCTCTCCCTGTTTCCCTCTTCCCCCACCTTTACAGCCCCTAGCATCCTCTGTTCTACTTTTTACTCTTTTGAGATCAACTTTTTTAGCTCTCATGTGTAAGTAAGAACACATAGTATTTAACTTTATGTTCCTGGCTTATTTCACTTAATATAATGGCCTCCAGTCCATCTATGTTGCTGTGAATCACAGGATTTCCTTCTTTTTATGGCTGAATAGTATTCCATTGTATACATGTAACTGACTGCAGGTTTGGCTGCTCACTGCTTGCAAAGCCAGTAACAAGGCAGATGTGCAGTGAAAGGAAAGTGACTTTTTTCTAAAGCTAGCAGTGAGGAAGCAGCCAGCTTAACCTCCAGAAATAATTCAAACTTCAGGCTGGGAAGAGGGGATCAAAAAAGGAAACTTGGAATGGGAGGCATGCAGGAGGAGTGTGGAGTTTCAAAGTATGTTTCAGTGCTGTATTCCAAAACTAAGGAGGAAAAGGTTCCTATAGTTTGTATCAAGTTTACAACTTGAGACTGGGAAAAAAGGAGAAAAAAAATGTTTTAAAATACATTTGGAGCTAAACTACTTGGTTGCATAGGTATACCACATTTTCTTAATTCATTCATCTGTTATTGGACACCCAAGTTGATCCGGTATCTTGGCTGTTGTGAGTAGTGCTGAAATAAATAACATGGGGGTGAGGATATTTCTTTGATATACTAATTCTCTTTTCTTTGGATAAATATCCACTAGTGGGATTGCTGGATCATATAGTAGTTCTATTTGTAGGTTTTTGAGGAATCTTTATGTTGTTCTCCATAGTGGCTATACAAGTCTACATTCCTAGAATCTTCTGATCCATAGTCAGACGCGTTATCCATTGCGCCACTGGCCCGTGCTTACAAGTTTACATTCCTACCAGAAGTATGTAAGAGTTCCCTTTCTCTGGATCCTCACCAGCATTCGCTGTGTTTTGTCTTTTCAGTAATAGCTATCCTAACTGGCATGAGATGATATTTCATGTTGGTTTTGATTTGCATATCCCTGTTGATGAAAATGTTGAGCATCTGAACATACATTTTTTGGCCATTTGTATGTTTTCTTTTGAGAAATGTCTATTCTGATCATTTGCCCATTTTAAAATTGGATTTTTGGTTATTTTACTGTGGAGATATTTGAGTTTCTTCTATATTCTGGATATTGATCTGAGGTCAGATACATAGTTTGGAGATATTTTCTCTCATTCTGCAGGTTGCCTATTCACTCTGTTGATTGTTTCCTTTGCTGTGCAGAAGCTTTTTAGTTTAATGTAGCTCTATTTGTTTATTTTTGCTTTTGTTGCCTATGTCTTTCATGTCTTATTCATAAAATCTTTTCCAAGACCAATGTCCTGAAGTGTTTCTCCAATGTTTTCTTCTAATGTTTAATAGTTCTTCAGGTCTAACATTTAGGTCTTTGATCCATTTTTAGTGGATTATTTTTTTGTATGGAGTGAGAGATGAGGGGTCTAATTTCAATCTTCTGCATATGGATATCCAGTTTTCCCAGGACCATTCATTGAAGAGAGTGACCTTTCTGCAGTATATGTTCTTGACACCCTGCCAAAAGTCAGTTGGTTGTAGATGTGGATTGATTTCTGGATTTTCTGTTTTGTTCCGTTGGTCTGTGTGTCTGTTTTTATGCTAGCACCAGGCTGTTTTGATGACTACAGCTTTGTACTATGTTTTGAAGCCTAGTAGTATGATACCTTCAGTTTTGTTATTTTTCTCTCAGGATTGCTTTGGCTATTTGGGGACTTTTGTGATTCCATACAAACTTTGAGACTTGTTTTCTGTTTCTATAATTGGTATTTTGATAAGGATTGCTTCAAGTCTGTAGATTGCTTTGGGTAGTAAGGTCATTGTAACAATTTTAATTCTTTTGATCCAAGAGAATGGGATGTTTTTTATTTGTTTGTATCCCCTTCAATTTCTTTCATCAGTGTTTTTTAGTTTTCCTTCCAGAGGCATTTCACCTGCTTGGTTAAATTTATTTTTATGTAGTTTATTTTTTCTTGTAGTTATTGTAAATGGGATTGCCTCTTTTTTCTCGGCTAGACTGTTACTTGTGTATAGATATGCTGGATTTTTGTAAGTTGATTTTGTATCCTGCAACCTTACTGAATTCATTTTCAAATCTAAGAGTTTCTTTTAATGGAGTCTTTGGGTTTTTTTCTCAATGTAAGGCCACATGATCAGCAAACAGGGATAATTTGATTTCTTCTTTTCCAGTTTATATGCCTTTTATTTATTTCTTTTGCTTGATTGCTCTGGCTAGGACTTCTGGTACTATTTTGAACAGCAGTGGTAAGAATGGGCATTCTTTTCTTGTTCCAGTTCTTAGAGAAAATGCTTTCAGCCTTTTCCCATGCAGTATGATGTTAGCTGTGGCATATGTGGACTTTATTGTATTGAGGTGCTTTCCCTCTACCAGATTTTTTTTTGAGATGGAGTCTCGCTCTGTCACCCAGTCTGGAGTACAGTGGTGCGATCTCAGTTCACTGCAACCTTCCCCTCCCAGGTTTGAGCGATTCTCCTGCCTCAGCCTCCTGAGTAGCTGGGACGACAGGTGCATGCCACCTCGCCCAGCTAATTTTTGTATTTTTAATAGAGATTGGGTTTCACCATGTTGGTCAGGATAGTCTCAATCTCTTGACCTCATGATCTGCCTACTTGGGCCTCCCAATGAGCTGGGATTATAGGGGTGAGACACCATGCCTGGTCAAGATGTTTTATTTTATTAAATAGTTTTTTTTTTTTGCATCATTATGATGATTATATGGTTTTTAGCCTTCATTCTGTTGGTGTGATATATCGTGCTTATTGATTTGCATATGTTGAACAATCCTTGCGTTCTTGGGATAAATCCTACTGGATTTGATTTTCTATTATTTTGTTGAGGATTTTTGCATCTGTGTTCATCAGGGATTTTGGCCTGTAGTTTTCTTTTTTTGTCATGTACTTGCCTAGTTTTGGAATAATTTAATTTTTCTGCTTTAATTTTTTGGAATAACTTCAGAAGAATTGGTATTCATTTTTCTTTAAAGGTTCAGTAGAATTCAGCGGTGAAGCCATCTAGTCCTGGACTTTTTTTTTTTGGTAGACTTTTTATTACCGATTTTATCTGGTTACTTTTTGTTGATCTGTTCAGGTTTTCTGTCTCTTTTTGGTTCAATTTTGGTAGGTTATATGTGTTCAGGAATTTATTTCC